GACTAGACTATAGACTAGACTATAGACTAGACTATAGACTAGACTATAGACTAGACTATAGACTAGACTATAGACTAGACTATAGACTAGACTATAGACTAGACTATAGACTAGACTATAGACTAGACTATAGACTAGACTATAGACTAGACTATAGACTAGACTATAGACTAGACTATAGACTAGACTATAGACTAGACTATAGACTAGACTATAGACTAGACTATAGACTAGACTATAGACTAGACTATAGACTAGACTATAGACCAGACTATAGACCAGACTATAGACCAGACTATAGACTAGACTATAGACTAGACTATAGACTAGACTACAGACTAGGCTATAGACTAGGCTACAGACTAGACTATAGACTAGACTACAGACTAGACTATAGACTAGACTATAGACTAGACTATAGACTAGACTATAGACTAGACTATATATATTGAATTCAATCTATTATCTCATTAGAAAAAAAAACTATTTAGAATCCCTGTTTAAATGATTCATTGAATCCAATTTAGTAAATACACGCTAAATATGTAGTAGCAGCCAACACATCGTCATCGTGTATTTTAGTCTATTGACCCAATTCTAAAAATGGCAACTACTACTTGTACATATTAGTTATTCAGACAGACAATAGTAGTTTTAAACTTATCTTAACAGCTTAAATCAGTATCTTATTAATAAAATGCAATAATATAAAATATAATAGTTAGTTAATATGCAATTACTCGTATTACAATTTGTTTATTTATTTTTTACATTGAAATCTGTAAAATTTTAATATGAACTAAGTTTTTATTCTTGAGAAAATGTTATGATTAACTTTTATAATGAAAATATTATGATTTACTTTGGAAATCTATATTGTTTTTTTTAATATCATATAACTTTATGTTAAAATCGCGAAAAAAAAAACCATTAGTAATATTAACAAATTAAAATATAATTAATTTTTTATTGGCGAGTCATAGAATACAGTTATATTGATGAAGATTACTATCTCACGTAAATTGTTTGTTAAGATAATTAATAATTTATTAGTTTCGTGGTGGTCATGCACTTAGAGAAAATCATAAAATAATAGGAAAGTTTTTTAACTATTTTATATTTTATTAGAAAATCTCTTTAAAAACATTATACAGATAAAAATTTCTTGAGAATTATGTTAATTTTCCAAATTTGTTAAAACTAGACTTTAATATCTTTATTGTTAATTGATCTATTTAATGCGCTGTAATTATTTTTTAAAGTGTATTATTATAAATATTTCTATGGAAATTATAATTAACCCTATAATCATTTTAAATTTGACTAAAATATTCCGTGCAATTAAATATTTTTGTTGAAAATATTATTATTTAGAATTCTTTATAATTACAGCATTTTTTTGTCATAAATTTAAAGAAATCTTGTATAATATTTGTAATTATACACCTTAATTTCGGAAATGACATTTGTTTAAGTCAGACTTTAAAGTAAACTAATAATAGAGTCGGAAGGGTGTCTACATGCGATATCAATATCACGTTAATGACTTGTATTAGTCACAGGGAAAGAATGTATAACAAATTACTTAATAAGTAAATACATAGAGATTTTTAATAAAATATTAAATAAATATTTGGTACTACTAAACAAATATTTAAATTAAACTAATCTTTAACTGTTTCAATATAATTACCCGGAAATATTGAAATTAATGATAAATAGTACTTAAAAAATATAATAATGTTTATAGCCCTCCATAACTTTTCTTAGTTTTAAAATTGTTGGGATTAAAATAGTACCTTTCATTTTTAAAACATTTAAATCCCTGTATCCCAGACATGTTAAAGACCTTAAACTAGTTAATGTTGACATTTTCAATATTAATTTCAAGTTTAACTCCATTTAAACTTTATCACGACTAAAATTACTCTTGGACATTTTGCATAATAAACTCAAGATTAACTCCTACTTGGGAAACTATAAAAAAAATGAAATCATTATTTAAAACTAAATATAAATGCCATTTATAAAGTCTTATTTAATTCTGAAATATATTTTATTACTAATTGCTGTATTTAGCTACAAATTCAATTTTCACACATAACACTTCATATTATTTATGTGTTTTTTTACGTTATTAAATTATTAAAAAGGGAAGAATGCTTAATAAAATAAAAGGTATCATTAAATTTAATAAATTGATATAAACAAAACTAGAATTAAGAAAATCTATTAAAATTTCTATACAATAATATGAATTTCATCAATATGTATCCTTAATATACCATTAAAAGCAACACTGTTGTCATTTGTTTACAAATAAACAACAGCTTAATAGTTTCAAGTGAATGGCAAATGCTTGATAAATAAACAAATGTAACAGTTTAAAAATACTGCTAATAAATCGAAATATATTCAATTATGTTTTTTAGGTAACTTCTTGCACATTTTTTTGTTAATTTTCATTGAAAAGAATTCACTATTTTTCTTACTATATTGTTAGAATGTTGTTTAATATACACTTGTTGTTTTTGTTTTGATCGCCAGACATGAAAATACAAAAAACTACTCATAGTAAGCAAGTAGTAATTAATCAATTCGTTATTGCATTGAAGTCTCTTATTTTGCTCATTTGCACCTTTTTTTTTGCATCATTAAAAAATGACAGAATTAGATAAGTAACAAACGTTAAAGGTTTCAATAACAGTTTTAAAATAATAACAAATAGTTAATTAACAATTAACAGGTTATAATTGAGAAAGAAATTGTACATAATTTGTATTAATGCAATATATGTATACATACGTTCATATGTAAGTAGAGCAAAGGGAATGTCAATATGATTTAGAACCATTTATTATTTTCAAACTAAAGGAATGATTGACTCACTACTTCCTTTGATAGAAAACTATTCTATAGTCTAGACTGTAGACGGATCTCTAGTCAAGACTATAAACTGATATATTGTATGTATAGTCAAGACCGTAGACTGATCTATAGTCAAGGCTATATTTATATAATCAATACTATGTATGTACTGATCAATAGTCAATACTTTAAACAGATCTAAAGTCACTATAGATCAGTCTATAGTCTAGAATGTAACGTGTAGAGAGATATATAGTCAAGAATATAGACTGATCTTTTGTCAAGTTTATAAACTGATCTATTGCAAGACTGTAAACTATAGATTGATCTATATTTAAAATCTTAAATATGTCTTCAGTCAAGATTATAAACTGATATATAGCAAGGACTACAGACTGATCTATGTTATTAACTATAGACTGATCCGTAGGTTGGTTATAGATTGATATTTAGTCTTGACTATAGATTTTACTTTATAGACTGATCTATATATAGTCTTTACTATAGACGAATCAATAGTCTTTACTTTAGATTGATCTATAGACTGATCTATAATCTTCACTATAGACTTATCAAGAGTCTTGATCTATAGTCATGACTATAGACTGATCTATAGTCATGACTATAGACTGATCTATAGTCTTGACTATAGACTGATCTATAGTCTTGACTATAGACTGATCTATAGTCTTGACTATAGGCTGATCTATAGTCTTGGCTATAGACTGATCTATAGTCTTGGCTATAGACTGATCTACAGTATTGACTATAGACTGATATATATATATGACTATATAATGATCTATAGTCGTGCCTATAGCCTTGACTATAGACTAATCTATAGTCGTGACTATAGGCTGATCTATAGTCTTGACTATAGACTAATTTATAGTTGTGATTACAGGCTGATCTATAGTCTTGACTATAGTATGATATATAGTCTTGACTATAGAATGATCTATAGTCTTGACAATAGACTAATTTATAGTTGTGATTACAGGCTGATCTATAGTCTTGACTATAGTATGATATATAGTCTTGACTATAGAATGGTCTATAGTATTATCTATAGAATGATCTATAGTCTTATCTATAGAATTATCTATAGTCCTGTCTATAGAATGATCTATAGTCATGACTATATTTAGAATGATCTATAGTCATGACTATAGTTTTGACTACATACTGATCTATAGTCTTGACTATAAACTGATCTATATTGTTGACTATAGACTGATATACAGTCTTGACTATAGACCGATCTACAGTCTTGACTATAGACCGATCTATAGTCTTGACTATAGACTGATCTATAGTCTTGACTATAATCTGATCTATAGTCATGACCATAGACTGATCTGTAGTCAAAACAATGGTCAGCTCTATAGTCTAGATATAGACAAATCTATTTAAATGTAACAATCTACGAAATGTTTTTCAAAGTCAAAGTAGTAAATTTTGACAAAATGATTACAGTTTACATTTCTAGCTGAATGCATTAATAAATTAAATTAAAATTGTCAAGTTCTTGCAGTCATTGTCATGTTTTTGCATTTTTAACAAAGAGAACTCAAACTTTAGACATTTACAAACAATTTTTTCAATATTTTTAGACACATTTCAATTTAAACAATTGTTTAAACAAAAAAATATAAAAAATAATACAATTGAAACGTCATTTATGACAGCGAAAATGTAACAGTAAAAATATACATATCTGTTTAAATTCTCCATAAATAAAAACTGTATTGCTAACAATAATACATATATTAAATGTAATGAATGATATGTTAAACTTAGCCAAAGTTAGTCATAGACAACTAATACAAAAGCAAAAGAAAATTTAGACACTATAATATGTGATCGTAAATTTTTGAAAAACAAAAAATAAACTTGTTTAAGTGTACAAAATAATAAAGTTATTTTATAGTCAAGATCATAAATATTTAACACAATGGTTAATGGATTTCAAGTTAAGCGTAAAGTATTTAAAATTTAAAAAACTTTTAAAATTTTCAAATAGAAATTTCCATATGTACTATTTTCTTTTATATAGAAAATTTGCTGAAATTATAAACTTTTTTCATATGCATATTAAATTGAACATTATTTTATTTCTTTTTCTTTTTTAGAATTTAAAATAATCACGAATTTCGATTGCCTTCAAACGGAGCAGCAGACACAATGGCTGGAAAATATGAATACACATTAGGCGTCAATGAACTAAAATCGAAGGAATTTCGTTTATGGCAATCACTTATTGGTGAATTTCTTGGTAAGTGTCTAACAAAATGTAATTGATAGTTTTTTACATTTCACAGCCATAACTATTCTTTCTTAATGTCATTTTTCTAATTTTTAGGAAATTTAATACTAAACTTTTTCGCTTGTGGTGCTTGCACACAACCTGAAGATGGTACATTTAAGGCTTTAGCTTTTGGTCTGGGTGTTTTTATGGCCATCACTGTAAGTAGAAACATAAATTTACACATGTTATTTGAAAATAGATACGTAAATAAATACTTATGTTCATATGTCAATCAGTTTCCATATTATTATTTAAATTATTTACAAAACAAACAAAAAAAGTTGATTATGAAAAATGTTTTTTACCAAATTTACTTCGTTTTTTTTTTTTGTGTCGTTGGTTGGTTATCCTTAAATAGTCATTTGACATGAAAATGTAATCAATTTAAAAGCAATTGACACAATTTTATGTTTTGACATTTGACTGAGTTTCGATCGCCATAAATGTTAACATTTCTACTGTTTACATATGTACAGGATGTCAAGATCACTTAAGTAGTCATAACGCAAATATAATATGTGTATACAATGATAATATATTTTTAAAATATATGCGTTACTAATAGCAGCAAAATCTGACTCCAACATCGAATACCTCACAGGCTGTTCTAGTTCATATTGACAACACGGAGATAAAACACTCTGTTTCGGGTACTACTAACACTCAGTCCATTGAAGAACTCACATCTAAATCACAAATTTCAAATCCTAGAAAAACCTATGAATTTGTCAGTAAATTGATTTCTGACATATCCAGTTACTCATTTTAACACTTGACAAACATTTCCCCCATCAAATGCCCTGATAAATTTATGATTTGGAATTAATTTCAGAAACAAGTTCCTAAATTCTCCTCACAGCTATGCCTGTAGCGTAAACGATACAGTATGCGATATGATATGCACCCGAAATATTAATAACAAGATAGTTAGATAGTTAGTTAGATAGAAGTAGTTAGTTAGTAGTTAGTTAGTTAGTTAGTTAGTTAGTTAGTTAGTTAGTAGTTAGTTAGTTAGTAGTTAGTAGTTAGTTAGTTAGTAGTTAGTTAGTTAGTTAGTTAGTTAGTTAGTTTAGTTTTAGTTAGTTAGTTAGTTGAGTTAGTAGTAGTTAGTAGTTAGTAGAAGCTAGATAGATAGTAGTTAGTTAGTTAGTTAGTTAGTTAGTTAGTAGTTGAGTTAGTTAGTTAGTTAGTTAGTTAGTTAGTTAGTTTTAGTTAGTTTAGTTAGGTAGTTAGTAGTAGTTGTTAGGTAGTAGTTAGTAGTTAGTTAGTAGTTAGTTAGTTAGTAGTAGTTAGTTAGTTAGTTAGTTAGTTAGTTAGTTAGTTAGTTGTTAGTTAGATAGATAGTAGTTAGTTAGTTAGTTAGTTAGTTAGTTAGTTAGTTAGTTAGTTAGTTAGTTAGTTAGTTAGGTTAGTTAGTAGTTAGGTAGTTAGTTAGTTAGTTAGTTAGTTAGTTAGTTAGTAGTAGAAGTTAGTATTTAGTTAGTAGTTAGTTAGTAGTTAGTAGTTAGTTAGTTAGTTAGTTAGCTAGTTAGTTAGTTAGTTAGTTAGTTAAGTTAGTTAGTTAGTTAGTAGTAGTTAGTTAGTTAGGTAGTTTAGTAAGTTAGTTAGTTAGCTTAGTTAGTTAGTTAGTTAGTTAGTTATTTCGTTCGTGCTCGTTCGTTCGTTCGTTCTTCGTTCGTTCGTTCGTTCGTTCTTCGTCGTTCGTTCGTTCGTTCGTTCGTTCGTTCGTTCGTTCGTTCGTTCGTTCGTTCGTTCGTTCGTTCGTTCTCGTTCGTTCTCTCGTTCGTTTCGTTCGTTAGTTCGTTCGTTCGTTCGTTCTTTTCGTTCGTTCGTTCGTTCGTTAGCTCGTTCTTCGTTCGTTTGTTCGTTCGTTATTGTTCGTTCGTTAGTTTGTTCGTTCGTTCGTTCGTTCGTCGTTAGTTCTCGTTGTCGTTCGTTAGTTTAGTTCGTTCGTTAGTTCGTTCGTTAGTTCGTTCGTTCGTTCGTTTAGTTTTAGTTCGTTCGTTCGTTAGTTAGTTCGTTAGTTCGTTAGTTTCGTTCGTTCGTTCGTTCGTTCGTTCGTTCGTTCGTTCGTTCGTTCGTTGTTCGTTTCTTTCTTTCGTTCGTTCGTTCGTTCGTTTCGTTCGTTCGTTTCGTTCGTTCGTTCGTTCGTTCGTTCGTTCGTTCGTTCGTTTCGTTCGTTCGTTCGTTCGTTCGTTCGTTCGTTCGTTCGTCTTCGTTTCGTTGTTCGTTCGTTCGTTCGTTCGTTCCGTTCGTTCGTCGTTCGTTCGTTCGTTCGTTCTTCGTTCGTTCGTTCGTTCGTTCGTTCGTTCGTTCGTTCGTTCGTTTCGTTCTTCGTTCGTTCGTTCGTTCGTTCGTTCGTTCGTCGTTCGTTCGTTCGTTCGTTCGTTCGTTCGTTCGTTCGTTCGTTCGTTCGTTTCTTCGTTCGTTCGTTCTCGTTCGTTCGTTCGTTCGTTAGTTCTTCGTTCGTTCGTTCGTCGTTCGTTCGTTCGTTCGTTCGTTCGTTCGTTCGTTTTCGTTCGTTCGTTCGTTCGTTCGTTCGTTCTTCGTTCGTTGTTCGTTCGTTCGTCGTTCGTTCGTTCGTTCTTCGTTCGTTCGTTCGTTCGTTCGTTCGTTCGTTCGTTTCGTTCGTTCGTTCGTTCGTTCGTTCGTTCGTTTCGTTTTCGTTCGTTCGTTCGTTCGTCGTTCGTTCGTTTTCGTTCTTCGTTTTCGTTCGTTGTCGTTCGTTCGTTCGTTTCGTTCGTTCGTTCGTTCGTTCGTTCGTTCGTTCGTTTGTTCGTTCGTTTTTCGTTCTTCGTTTCGTTCGTTGTTCGTTCGTTCGTTCGTTTCGTTCGTTCGTTCGTTCGTTCGTTTTCGTTCGTTCGTTCGTTTCGTTCGTTCGTTCTTTGTCGTTTCTTCGTTCGTTCGTTCGTTCGTCTTCGTTCGTTCGTTTCGTTCGTTCGTTCGTTTCGTTCGTTCGTTCGTTCGTTCGTTCGTTCGTTCGTTCGTTCGTTCGTTCGTTCGTTCGTTTCGTTCGTTCGTTCGTTCGTTCGTTCGTTCGTTCGTTCGTTCGTTCGTTGTTGTTCGTTCGTTCGTTCGTTCGTTCGTTTCGTTCGTTCGTTCGTTCGTTCGTTTTCGTTCGTTCGTTCGTTCGTTTCGTTCGTTCGTTCGTTCGTTATTAGTCTAGTTAGTTAGTACAATTGCGGCTTTAGTTTGAGGAAACCGAGGAATGTCCTCCTTTATGATGTAACGTGTAGTACACGTACGATATATAGTCTGAACTTTTGTATGGACTATAGAATATAGTCTGGTAGTGATATTATGTGGTAGTATGTAGTCTATTTTATAGACTAGACTGAATTAAAATCTAATCTATAGTTTACACTGAGCTACATTTTTTTGTCTAGGCTATATTGAACTACAGTCTAGACTAAACTGGACTTTAGTCCTTAGAGTCTTGATTGGTCTACATTCAAGACTGGATTGTATCTATCATATGGACTACATTCTCGCAAATAATCTGGACTATATGGAGTATAGTGTACTCTATAGTCAGGTATACAGACTTTTCTATATACCGGACTATAGACTCGAATGTAGACGGGATTAAAGAAATTAGACAGATTTTAAACTTATTGGCCGAATATTTAGAAAATTTTGTTTTCAAAAACTACAACTATAAAAATATAAAGTTTTCGTTAAAAATAATTAATTTCACTAAATAAATAGTGAAAATTGTAAAAAATACGTTTAACAAAAAGCGTAATAAATCAGCTGAATTTACTAGAACAACGTACTATTTAGTATATTACATTTACGTGGAAATATGTTAAATATTTCTATTATATAGTTAAAGTCTAATTTTACTACAAACAGAGTAAACTAGTGGGAGTATTTAGCAAATATTTCATTATTACCATTTTTAAACAACTAAAGCAGCTATTTTAATTATGCATATTATTTGAATTATTTTTAGATTGTTGGACATCTAAGTGGTGGTCACGTAAATCCTGCTGTAACTTTGGGCATGTTAGTTGCTGGCCGTATAAGTGTTCTACGTGCAGTACTCTATATAATATTCCAATGTTTAGGATCAATAGCGGGTACGGCGGCAATAAAAGTGAGTATAAATCATAAAAAATAATACATATAAAATAGATATTTATTTTAAAATTATTATCATATTAGACCTTACTCGATGAATCCTACTATAACGGTTTGGGTCACACCAGTTTAAGTGTGAACATAACTGAACTACAAGGTCTCGGTATTGAGTTCTTCTTAGGTTTAGTTTTGGTATTGACTGTATTCGGGGCCTGTGATGCTAATAAACCCGGTAAGTGTTTTGCCTGATAAATAAATGTTAGCAATAAGTATTTATTTACAATTTATACTAGACTCCCGTTATACTGCCCCCTTGGCCATTGGTATGGCTGTTACATTGGGTCATTTGGGCACCATCAATTACACTGGTGCCAGCATGAACCCAGCACGTACTTTAGGCACTGCTTTTGCCACTAACAATTGGAATGCCCATTGGGTATACTGGGCTGGTCCAATTTTGGGTGGTATTGCTGCCGCTTTGATTTACACACAAATTTTGGAGAAACCAGCTGCAGCAAAGGTTAGTGAAGTATCGGATAAATACAGGACACATGCCGACGAACGTGAGGTGAGGGTTTTATATTCATGATAATGATGATGTTAATTAACAAATTGCATTCTGTGTTTATTTATTTATATATTAATATTCTATATTATCTGTAAATATTGGACATTGGAATATAACTAAATTACCCACCTACTTACAATGCATTCTATACATAATACATATGTATATATGTACATCATACATTTAGATTTTCCTAAACTTAAGCATTTCTCGTTATTCTAAATTACATATATTTTTCTATTAAAGGTTCCTCTAACGAAATTTCACGATTTACAAGTTTATTGACCTGAAGTCTGTCCCAAATTTTTAAGTACCTTTTCAAATTCAATATCCTGATTTCATAATACTTTATTATAGTGAATAAATATAATATTATATCTAAATTCTAAATTTAATTCTTACTTTAATTTAAGAGTAAATAATTAATTAAGAAGAAGAATTTAATTGGTTAAATAATCGAGAAACTAAAATTTGATTTTGTAGTCTAGTCTATAGTCTAGTCTATAGTATAGTCTATAGTCTAGTCTATAGTATAGTCTATAGTCTAGTCTATAGTCTAGTCTATAGTCTAGTCTATAGTCTAGTCTATAGTCTAGTCTATAGTCTAGTCTATAGTCTAGTCTAGTCTAGTCTATAGTCTAGTCTATAGTCTAGTCTAGTCTATAGTCTAGTCTAGTCTATAGTCTAGTCTAGTCTAGTCTATAGTCTAGTCTAGTCTATAGTCTAGTCTATAGTCTAGTCTATAGTCTAGTCTATAGTCTAGTCTATAGTCTAGTCTATAGTCTAGTCTATAGTCTAGTCTATAGTCTAGTCTATAGTCTAGTCTATAGTCTAGTCTAGTCTAGTCTATAGTCTAGTCTATAGTCTAGTCTATAGTCTAGTCTATAGTCTAGTCTATAGTCTAGTCTATAGTCTAGTCTATAGTCTAGTCTATAGTCTAGTCTATAGTCTAGTCTATAGTCTAGTCTAGTCTAGTCTAGTCTAGTCTAGTCTATAGTCTAGTCTAGTAGTCTAGTCTAGTCTAGTCTAAGTCTAGTCTAGTCTAGTCTAGTCTATAGTCTAGTCTAGTCTATCTAGTCAGTATAGTCTAGTCTATAGTCTAGTCTATAGTCTAGTCTATAGTCTAGTCTAGTCTAGTCTATAGTCTAGTCTAGTCTAGTCTATTAGTCTAGTCTATAGTCTAGTCTATAGTCTAGGTCTAGTCTAGTCTATAGTCTAGTCTATAGTCTAGTCTATAGTCTAGTCTATAGTCTAGTCTATAGTCTAGTCTATAGTCTAGTCTATAGTCTAGTCTATAGTCTAGTCTATAGTCTAGTCTATAGTCTAGTCTATAGTCTAGTCTATAGTCTAGTCTATAGTCTAGTCTATAGTCTAGTCTATAGTCTAGTCTATAGTCTAGTCTATAGTCTAGTCTATAGTCTAGTCTATAGTCTAGTCTATAGTCTAGTCTATAGTCTAGTCTATAGTCTAGTCTATAGTCTAGTCTATAGTCTAGTCTATAGTCTAGTCTATAGTCTAGTCTATAGTCTAGTCTATAGTCTAGTCTATAGTCTAGTCTATAGTCTAGTCTATAGTCTAGTCTATAGTCTAGTCTATAGTCTAGTCTATAGTCTAGTCTATAGTCTAGTCTATAGTCTAGTCTATAGTCTAGTCTATAGCCTAGTCTATAGTCTAGTCTATAGTCTAGTCTATAGTCTAGTCTATAGTCTAGTCTATAGTCTAGTCTATAGTCTAGTCTATAGTCTAGTCTATAGTCTAGTCTATAGTCTAGTCTATAGTCTGGACTAATAGTCTTTACAGAAGACTATGTATTCTGGACTACAGTCATTTGTCTGGAGTGTAATCTATAGTCTAGGGTCTACACTATAGTCTGGACTGCAGTCCATTGTCTGGAGTGTAGTTTGTAGACTGGACTAAAGTCTATAGTCTGGAATACATTCTATAGTTTATAGTCATTTGTCTGGAGTGTAGGCTGTAGTCTGATGTATAATGAAAACCATGGTCTGGACTACAGTCTAATCTATGATCTGAACTATAATCTAGTCGTTGATATGGACTATTGTCTCGATTGTAGTCTGGATTATAGTATATAATATGGACTATGGTCTGTTGTAAAGTGTGGACTATATTCTTGTCTGATTTAAGGTCTTATCTGCATATATCTGCACTACAGTTTGCCAGTTTACTATTTTCTTAATGTCAATCCCACCTTGAAAATTTATAAATTTTTTTATTAAAATCATAGTTTTTTTTGTTCGTTTTTTAATATTAAAGTGTTGATTTTTAGGGAATTGTGAATATGAGTTTTTCTGGCAACACTGTTGACAATTCAAAGTCGAGCCTAAAAGTTTGCAACACAAATTGCAATTACTAAACAGGGTGTCTCTTATAATTATTTATTACATATGTTTATATGGCTTCATAACGCTAAAAGTTAATTTAATTATATATTATACAATTAAACTCACATTAAAACACACACAAACACATTCATGCACATATACATACATATACCAACACCTTGTGGCACTATTTTTATACAATATCCTAACTTTAATTACAAAAAAATATATTTATAAAAATTCTAACAATAGACAACATTTTGAACTCAAGTGACACTTTTCATTACTCTCATTTTCAGAACTGAATACAAATCCAAAAACCAAAAACAAAATCCCATTGCAATTCTCACGCTTTCTGTAGTTTTGTCCGTCTATCACAAAAACAAATAAACAAACACCCACACACAGAACGACAAATAAATGAATTTTTATTTTCTTGCCGTGAGAATAAAACCGTTATATATTTTAAATATTTTTGTATTATTATTATATTATTATTATTTTTATGTTTTTTTTTTTTTTTTTTTGTTGTATTGTCTTTATTATAATTGTATGTTTTATAACATGGATTTTTGTCTTAAAAAAAAAACACTCAAACATCTTTCTTCAAATACAGATGAGAAAATTGGAAGGAGCACGTGATTACGCTTAAAAATAAAAAAAATCTTAGAAACAGCGAACAATAATCTCTGTAAGAAGTTGTAGAAAAACAAAACAACAACATGGTTTTCTATAGAAATTTCCAATTGGAAATCGAATATATACACTATTTTTGAATTACATTTATACAAACAGGATTACAACCTTTTTTATTAAAGAAAAAGAATCGTAACTATTGCATATTTATTAAATTTATAATAAATTTTTTGTGTGTTCTTTAACATTATAAGTTTTTTTGTCAAGAAGATTTTGTAAAATTTTATGATGTTTTTACTTTTTAATTTTTTCTTCTCACATTTTATAATAATTACCCACATGCATACATTTATAAATATTTATTAATTTATAATAATTATAAATAAACGAAGGTATTTGAAATATTTATTTTTTTGTATTGTATTAATCATATTCCGTAATAGTAATAAAATTACTAATAATTATAAATCCAAGTATAATTAAGGAAATATTGACATTGTATACAAACTAAAACCAAATATACTCTTTAAAAATAAACAATTTCTAAAAATGAGTTTCTGTTATGTCGACTTTGCATAAAGGTAAGTGCTTCCCACTTAAACGTTTTCTTAGATTGAATAAACATTTTGCAATCCAAACAAAATTTTAATAAAAAATATACAAAAAAAATGATAAAAATGAGTTTTGACTTTTATTAAGTTCAAATTTTAAGTTAATATGTTTTTCTATACATTTTTCCTAAAACCTAGTCTTTTGAAAACATTTATTTACAATATTTAACATAAAACAAAAACTTGCAACATTAACCGAACCAATGAGCACCCATACAATCCCTGGTCCATTCGGTTTGACACACCCAACACCATTCAAAGCCGCAGCCGGCACGTGTACAGACCATATGCATGCAACCACCATCCCGCTCAGTAGGTGTGCGACATTTAGGGCAGGGTTTGGTAGAGACTTTAATAGTAACATTACTCGCTTCATCCCAACGGGCTTCAGCAGCGCGCTAGAAGCAAACGAAATATATAATTTTAAAATTGCAATGAATTACAGAAAAAGTTATTTTAGAAAACATAGCAAAACGAATGGCAGATTTTGGAGCCTCAACATCATACCGCCTTGTCACTTGGCTTAAGCCCATATATTTCCACTAATATAAAAGCTACTTACATTTGGATCTACAGCATATTCACAAGAGCCCGTTGTATTTCCTGTACCATTCTCAGGAAGACAATCACCCAAATGATAACCTTGCAAACAATTACGACAAAAAACATACTAAAATAAAGAATGAATGCAATTAAACAATATTTCTTTACATTTACATCTAGTTTATTCCATCACTTACACCACAACCATTTTGACAAGTGACTTTCTTACAATCCGGTTCCACCAATAGACCCATACCACAGCCAGGTTGGGGACACAAAACTCCACCGGCTTGTAAAACATATTCCTCAGTGGCGAAACGTTGATAACGTTCATACTCCTCACGCGTCAGTAGCTTAAAATGATGAATTTCCTCTATAAAAGAATTTTCACAACCGGCCGGACAAGCCAAAGTGTAGCCAATATCGGGATGAGGCATAAATTGACGTTCCATGAGACGTGAACGGCAATAGTGTAAAAAGCATTCAATACAGGTGACGTGTTTCGATTCACAGGGGAAAACTAAAACAGTATCACTAAAAAAATTTATTTGTAAATAAATATTAATGAAAAACTTAGGAGAAAACTAACAGCTCGTTTATCATTATAAATAATGTCTCTAGACTTTACCTTACATCTGTACAGGCCAAACAAGGAATATCTTTCATATTAATTTTGATTAGATTAAGGGGAGCAGCAAAATCTTTTTCGCCACCCGATATATGTTCAGCACATTTAAAATAGAATTCAGCAAAGGGAGGATCACCAATATCATTATCTACACAGGCAATTTCTAATGACTCACAGTGACCTCTAATGCGTCTGGATTTTAAAACATCATCCCAACATTCGGGATCACGATGTACAGTAAATGCACCACCCTTACACAAAGAACAACGAACACGTAACTTGCCTTTGCACAATTTATTGCACTGGGAACAATGGACATAGAAATGGGCCTTAGAACGTTCACGATCTTTTAAAATAAACTTGTTATTAAAACACAATTATTTCCTCATATCAGCAACAATAAACTTACTTTCTTCTGGTATATTAGATCTTTCCTCACTTAGTAATTGCAAATCCACCAAAGTTTCACATAATGGTTTTGAGGGCTGTTCTTCCGAAGGTTCCTCTTCGGCAACTGTGGAATATAAACGTTTTCTCTGCTGCACTGGCCTCGCCTGTATGGCATGTAATATACTCTGTTGTCCTAAATCACATTCCTGTTACGTTAAACATCAATTGGGTCAAAGTTTTATTTCTACATTTTAACCAAAGTACAATTCTAACCTCAATTGTCGTAGCATCGCTTAGCTCTTTGCCAGCAAAGATAATCTTAACCTCTTCTGGCTGTAGACCCAATTGGGGTGCCACTATTTCTTTAACGTTTTTTATATCCCATTTGGGTTCCAAATTCACCGACAATGTACGTCCAGTATTTGTTTTAACATAAATACTCAAAGTATTCGTAATGGTCTTACTACCAAACGATAATAAGGCTAGCATTTTATCGATAAAAGCTTTTATTAAATTGATTAGAAAACTCATTTAACTTAATGTGGAAGTAGTTGAGAAACTTTTTAATATAAAATTGCTATAACATTTATAAGAAAATGAATTTTTCCTTTATTAAAATGCACGTAATAATAAAAATAGAACAAACCGAAACGAAATCAAAACATTGAGCAGCTGTTTGGCAGTGTTTACAAATTGGCAAATACTGAGTTGCTAAATTTAGTACGAAATTTAATACTATTTGTAAAGTACTACTAAACAGATTCTGTTTTTGAATTAGATTTTAAATATGATTTAAAGTAAATATTTGTTATAACGGCATATGATGAAAAATTTAACTGTAAATCCAACTTTTTGTTTAAATACACATATGAACAAGTAAGAAAGTATTGTCGGGCGAGGCCGACCATATGATACCCTACACCAGTTATGAATATTAAATATGATTTATTTTTCATAGTAAAGCATTTATTTTCAATATTCCCTTGTTCCGATACATTTAAGCAATTTATGGATGAAAAACTAATTTTCTGAAAGAGGCTTTATATGGGGGCTAGGGGCAAATATGGACCAAGCCCGATAAAATTTTGTGAATATATTTATATTTACATAATATTTTATTGTGCTGAATTTCATCGCGATATTTGTGTTTATAAGTTAATTTGGGACATTCAAGTAATTTTCTGAAGGGGACTTTGTATGGGAGCTAGGGTCAAATGGGGCCCGATCTTTATGAAATTTGGCAGGGTCATCAAGACTTCTATAAAACTTAGTTGTACCGTATTTTATCGATATATCTGTATATTTAACATAATTATGAGCTCAGAAGCCCTTTTCGGGGGGTTCTGTTCTATGGGGGCTACGTGAAATAATGGACCGATTTTAACCATTTTCAATAGGCTTCGTCCTGGGGCCAAATATCATCCATTTTATCTTGAAAATTGCGACCTGTAGCTTAATCGACTCAGAAAACGATTCTAAGCCGATTGGTATACTTTAAGGTGGGTCTAGGACGAATATTTTTGTATGTTACAAACATCAGCACAAATCCAATATACCCTCCCCACTAAAGTGGTGTAGGGTATAATTAGGGAATGGTAAATCAACTTAAAAATCTATTATTTTGTGATCGATTCTACACTACCAATTTTATACTAAAATCGACTTTTTGCATCGATTAATCGAAAATTCTGCTCTGCAAAATAAAAAGCATATTTTTTCACTAAAATTTTGTCAGAAGCAATGGAAATCAATCGAATAAACGAATAAACACTTTTGATAGGGTGTGTATTTAAAGTTTAAACGGATATAACTTGTTTTTAATTAAAAACTGGAAAAAAACGTTTTACAAAAAAATCTTAAAAATAATAATAATAATAATAGACCAAAATAATCGATTATTGGTACCGATTTTTTCATGTCATTTACTACTGAGCACTTTCAGACAATATAAAAATCTTTCAAATCGGATGGGAATCAAGGAAATGACACCCGTTTAAAACTTAACATGTCAAAGGTGGTCTACATTGAGCCCATATTGCGCCGACCTTAGAAAATTTATGGGCTTTATTTTGAAAATTTAAACTGAAATACTCCTTAACTACGCCTATATCAAATTTTGTCTCGATCGGACCATCTGTTTCCAAATGCCAGAATATATATTTTTTTACGAAATCACTAAAAAAATTGATTTTATTCTTTAGGTTAACACATCATTGGGGGTTTTACGATATCGACGGTTGAGATTGATGAGATTTTTGTTTGTTTGCCATGTTATATACAGTCGGAAATGCTAATTTGTCTAGTTTCTCAGATTATGTTTTATTTTTTAGGTTTAAGAATGACACTTGGTTAGTAATTCTTCGTCTTTGCAATATACATATATAATTTGGAGACATCGATTGATAATTGCCAATGTTGTAAGGCATCCCAATTATGTCTTTCAATGAGTTCTTCATTAACTACTTGGTGAGGCACATCCCTCACTAGAGAGGTAATTCTACAGATTCCATAGTTAAAATATGATATTTATGAATCACACTATGTTGCTGTGTTGATGTACGACCACCCCCGCAAACAACAGTAGCAGAACTTATGGTGGATATGATTCAAGGTTGACTGGACAAAAGTCCTTAGTAGTTGGGGAACATTATATTAAAAACATTGAAATGGGCTAGAAAGGAAAAAGAGAAATATTTTAATATCATGGAATATGAATTTAATAACTGTGTAGCTTTCCATGCCACTAAAGATGTACTATACCGGCATCCCCAATAGGCTTAAACCATTTAATTTATATATACAAACAATGAAATTTTACAAACAATTTAAATTTACAAACAATATTTACAAACACTTACATTTTATAAACAATTTAAATTTACAAAAAATAAATAAATTTTCTTCGGAAATTCGGACCAACTTCACATTTCGCATTGAACATCAATAAATATCTTATTTAGAGTAATGTTCGAGCCAGTGGATTCATGAAAAGGAAATAAATAGAAACTTATGTTGGAGGTAAGGCGCCAGGACCATTGACATATTCTTTGAACGTATTTCGAACACGTCCTTTAAAATTTTCCTCGAATTGAGCATTTAAATTATAAGTTGAGGGTCTGTTGTTGCAGCCGTTGATGTTATTTCTGGAATGGGTATTTTCGCAAAAAATTATAGAGATAGCAGGAAACTAAAGTTATTTTTGCAACATTTTTCGGACACAAATCCATGGTCGTATGAAATACTCTGAAACTATAAGTCATTAAAACGAATGTGTTTTCAATGATTACCCTGCCTCTTGATTCTCTCTGAAGTATTGAATTGTTAGGGCTTTATAAAATTTTTCCCAAGTGGAAAGGCACTGTCTACAAGCACATACATGTG